CAGATGGATATATCTTCCTGTTTCTCCTTTGCATTTTGCTTCTCTTCTCAGCTATTTGGAAAACTTCCTCAGACAACCATTTTGCCTTTTTGCATTTCTTTTTCTTGGAGTGGTTTTAATCACTGTGTCCTATACAATGTTACAAACTTTTGTCCATAGTTCTTCAGGCACTCTCTATCAGATGTAATCCCTTGAATCTGTTTGTCACTTCCACTGGATAATTGTAAGGATTTTTATTTAGGTCGTACCTGAATGGCCTAGTGGTTTTCCCTACTTTATTCAATTTAATTCTGAATTTGACAATAAGGAATTCATGATCATTTGACAGTGCTGGATTAAAGCCTTTTTTAAGTCCCATCAATGTCTGCCTTATTCATTCCAATCTTTTTTTTTAATTCTTTTCCTAAACTATTAATGTCAGAGTGCAATTTATTTATTAAAAAAACCTTCAGGAATCTCCCTGGATTTAAGAAAGAGAACTTTTTTCTCTCTCTCTCTTTCTTTCTTTTTTTCTTTTTGGTTTGGTAAAGAGCAGTTGTACCTCCAATGTGTGTGTTTATTTATTTTTTGTTTTAAGATCTGAATGCTACCAGAAATGGTGATGAATGAACTGCTCTTTCTGTTCTAATTTTTATCCTTACATCTTTTTAAGGGAATACCAGCAATTAGTCATTATTCTTATTTTATTTTTCTTTTTAATTTGATTCTCCCATTAATATCAATAAGGCAGATCCTTGGAACAAGAGCTCTCTAGCTTTTTGTTCTCATAAAGAAGTTTTACCAATTAAAAATATCCATTGTCTGTTCATTGAAAAGTAGAATTTCCATTAGTATATTAATCCCCAAAATGACAAATCTAATAAGCCTTTTAAAAAAGACTCATAGGGTAGGAGGGAGGTTTGGGGGAGGCTGAATACATGTATGTGTATGGTTGAGTGCCTGCACTGTTCATCTGAAACTATCATCACAATATTGTTAATTGGCAAAACCTCAATACAAAATAAAAAGTTTAAGTAGCAAAAAAAGAAAGACCCATAGGTAACTTCACAGGCTTAGAATGAATCTTTAAAATGGATGCAAGGGATATTCCTGGAGAGGAGACAGATAATGCAGTCCCCAGGATCCAGTGATTTCACTCCCAAAGTCCAAGAAACTAAGACTTTGTTACCCAGATCTCCAGCATTGCAGGCAGATTTTTTACCATCTGAGCCACCAGGGAGGGCTCTTTTTTACACAGAAACAATTTTTTTTTCTTAAAGTTTGTGAGCAAAAGATGCTCAACATCACTCATTATCAGAGAAATGCAAATCAAAACCACAATGAGGTACTATCTCACACCGGTCAGAATGATTGCTATCCAAAAATCTACAAACAATAAATGCTAGAGAGGGTTTGGAGAAAAGGGAACCCTCTCACACTGTTGGTGGGAATGCAAACTAGTACAGCCNTTTAAAGTAATTAACCTCAAGTTAAAATAAATAAATTAAAAAATAAATAAATAAATAAAAAGTTTGTGAGCACAAAGTCACCTATAGATTAGGTTCCCCGATAGGTGCCTCTGAAATCTTGTATGGCTGGATGAAGCTTCTTGAAACACCAGTTCATTTGCAAGCCACCAGGTAAGTGGCTTTTATGTAAGTGCATTTAGTAAGTGCATTTTATGGTGGTGGATAGTGGATACCAGAGGGAATACTCTCATTGACCCAAAATCCAAACTTATAGGACATAAAAGAAGATGTAATAAAAACATCTGAAATTCACCAGTTTGTGATAGTGACTTGAACATCAGGCTGATAGGGTATTCATACACTATAGTTTTTCCTTCTTATGACAAACAGCACAAAATCCAAAGACAAAGAAAAGTAGTGATCACATCTAGGAAGAAATAAATTAATAAAGTCAAGCATATTCTGCCAAATTTACTAAAATTGCTAAACTCAAGAAAATAGCTCCACAACATTTTCTCCTGCTATTCCAAATTTAGAATGAGAGGAGGAAAAAAATTAAAAAAAACTTGCCACTCTTTCTTCCAATAGACCCTGCAGCAGATAGAGATCCTAAGAACTAATGTGACAAAGACCTTTATCTTCTGCCAGCACTTCTCAAATGTCCCAGAATCTATCAGCGGCACACAAGCCTAGGGAAGTTTATTCTGCTGACTTAAGCCAAATGTTAAAGAAAAAGAAGTTTCTAAATTCCTCTGGCTGGTTTAAGAATTAACATGAGGCAGATAAACCAGTGAAAAGCAAATACTAATTCATATGTATGGGAACTCCACATACATGAAGTTTTCAGAGAGCCTATTTACATGAGAGATTCAAAAACAGAAAGATAAAATGAGGTTTACAGTCTATCTTGAGCTAAGAAATGAAACTGGGCCTTCAGGTTTTCAAGTACAAGAGGGTCATTCATAGGTCAATAAAAAGAAAAACAGTAGTCTGATAATTAAATATTTGCCCTGCCATATAGGTGGAACCTGGGTGCTCAGAGATAAAGAATCTGCCTACAATGCAGGAGACTTTCAGGAGATGCAACTTCAATCCCTGGGTTGGGAAGATTCCCTGGAGAAGGGCATGGCAACTCACTCCAGTATTCTTGCCTGGAGAATTCCATGGACAGATGGGCCTAGTGGGCTATAGTCCAGGGGGTCACAAAAGAGTCGGACACTACTGAGCAACTTAACAACAAACAATAATAGATGGAATCATTTAGATAAAATTTATCTCTGATAATAATTCTTTTTCTTGAAAAAGTTCCCAAATTAAATTCTTCTAAGTGGTTAAGAAAGGGACAGTAATTTCTCTTGATCCCACAGGGTCTCCATTGACTTTAGCTCAAAATAATCCACATGCCTTAGTGGTAACGTCTTAGGGAGGCTTGATCTAAACCCCTACAGATAAATTTTTTTTTAATTAATGATGCTAAAAATGTTTATAGATGAAAGATTTTTTTAAATGAAAAAAGAAACCCCCAAATTATTATTCAATAAATTAGAGTGCTGTGAAACAGATTTCTCAAACTTGAAGTTATATCCATTAATACTATCTTTATTAAAAAGAAGTTTGTCAAAATAAATTGAAAGACTCAAAAAATCTTTAGCAGTGATTTCATACTTCCAATAATTTACCTCCATGGGATAATTCTGAATAGAAATGTATTTTTTCCTTTAATTGAATTTTTATAAATTATTGATTTGAAAAAGAAAACTAAATCAAATATCCAGAAATGAGGTATAATTGCTTGATAATATATCATGCAAATAATACTTAAGCTGTTTTTAAATCAACATTGGAGGAATACCCAAGTTACCCTGTTCATTCTTAGTTATTTTCTTCACGTAACATTAAATCTTGTATGCAGTATTGTGCTCAACTGACTCATTCATTTATCCACATTAAAAGTTGAACACTATTTCCTTGGTTTTGATATAATGAGGTGTGCACCAGAAGAGAGTGAGACGTTGAAGATAACCTTCACTACAATTAACTATACCACAACTGCTTTTTTTTTTTTTTAAGTTGGGGCACACTCATCAAAGCAGGAAGGCTATTTGTCTCAGAAAATAACAATTTGACTCTTACTAGAAATTTTGATTTTTGGAAATCCTCAAAAACAGGATTAGAAATTTATTTTTTTTTAGCTCTGCATGATTGCATGCTGTCTCTTCAGTCATGTCTGACTCTGTGGGACCCTATGGACTATAGCCTGAATGGCTCCTCTGTCCATGGGTTTCTCCAGGCAAGAATACTGGAGTGGATTGCCATACCCTCCTCCAAGGGATCTTCCCAACCCAGGCAGGGATCAACCCTGTGACTCTACCACCTTACCAGCAACTCTACCACTATCGCCACCTGGGAACTCCTATGGAAGTACAATTGATTTACAAAAAGATATACATTTACTATATACATATTGATCAGCTTGGATGTATGCACACACCCAGGACACCATTAGACTTCCCAAGTGGCTCGGTGGTAAAGATGCCACCTGCCAATGCACACCAGGGTACTTCACACACTCATCACCTCCAAAATTTTTCTTGTGATCCTTTGTGAATTTTTAGAGTTTAGGGGTTTCATGGATTTGAAATTCATGCTCACAGTAAATAAATAATGGCAGCAGATCAGGTGTACACTGTTGAATTATGGTGATTTAAGAAGTAAACTTTCAACATAGACATACCTTTTGAAACTTAATGTTTCATCTGTGTTAATGGTTGAAAATAAATATCTTGGAGTCATTTGAAGGAAAATCAAATAACTATTATAATCATTTTTTCTATAGTCATTTTCCCTTGAAGCTTTGTGTATCTAACTAACAGAATCCATTAGCATTTTTCTTTTCAAGACTAGCATTTTGCTACGTAAGAAACATTTATTGCTTTTTCCAAGCCCTCCTGCAGTTTTGTTTGACCTTTAACTTTTAACATCACTTGCTTATTAGAATGTTTTTGTTCACTATCCTTGTTAAACAAAGGTCTCACATTATAATTATCAACTTTTATATATACATATTTTACTATATTTTATCCAAAAAATAGTGTGTTGAAATAATTGCACACTATGATTTCAATTATCCTTCTATTTATTTAACCTTTTCCTATTTCACAAACATACATTTTAAAAGTTTTCACTTTTCACATATTTCATCAAAGCTATTTTTAAAGGAACAAGAATTTAAAGTAAAACACCTTTCTCATTGACTATTACACCTCATTTTATAAATGAAATCCAAGGATAAACCTAATTCAGTATATGAAGATTTTTTTCTTAAAAAAGCCCAGTCTGCTTATACCAAGAACTTCCATTCCTATCATATATGAGAAAGTAGCACAAGTATATATATAGGTTTTTAAATTTGTTTTGATTGATTTTTTTTTCTGTTTTTCTTCCCCCCTCTCCTTACATCAAGAAAGATTTGCCTTTTTTTTCATATTCTCACTTGGAACCCCTGGACAGATATGGAGACAATTGACAGAGGTCTGTTTTGTTGGAAGCAGTTTATTTTCCCTTACATTTCTTTAGCAGAGTTTCTCTTACTTCCTTGTTACGGAGAGTGTAGATGAAAGGATTAAGAACTGGAGTTACCACGGTGTTCAAGACATGAACAGCTTTGGTGAGATTCAAAGCCTCTTTAATGGAGGTGCGAACATGAAGGAAGATTGTAGAGCCATACCAGATGAGCACCACTGTAAGATGCGAGGAGCACGTGGAGAAGGCTTTGCTTCTGCCCTGGGCTGAGGGAATCCTGAAGATGGTGCTGATGATGTAGACATAGGAGACAAGGGTGATAAGGCAAGAACTTAGGATGACCACAAAAGCAATCACAAAGCTTACAAGTTCCACCAGCTGTGTGCTGGTACAGGCCAGGGCAATCCAAGGTGCAATGTCACAAAAGAAGTGGTTGATAGTGCGGGGCCCACAGAAGGTCAGGCTGCTGATGAGGGCTGTGGGAACTGCAATGGCCNCATGATGAGTGGGTACCGTAGTGGGTTACAAATGGCTACATAGCGGTCAAAAGCCATTGTGGCAAGGAGGATGTACTCAGTGCAGACAAAGGTCACAAAGAAGTAAAGCTGAGTCATGCAACCATTGAAGGAAATTGTCTTGTCATGGCTGAGGAAGTCTATCTGCATCTTGGGGCTGATGACTGTGACATACCACATCTCCAGGAAAGAGAGGTTGCTCAGAAAGAAGTACATGGGCTTGTGCAGCTGTCCATCGCTATGGATGACGAGGATGATTAAAAAGTTCTCTACAAGTGTCAGAAGGTAAATTGCCAGGAAAACGAAGAAGAGGGGCAGCTGGAAGGCTGGCCGTGTTGGAAATCCCAGAAGAACAAAATGTGTTGTCACTGTATGGTTATCTGCTTCCAGAACCTTGGTAATCATAACTGGCTGTGGACGAAGACAAAATCAGTTCCTTCCATGTCCCAAGCACCAACCTACCGTTTTGATTGTAGAGCCCACTGCCTGGAAACTCATCACAGTAGAAGCTCTCTGGCCTTTATATCTATACTTTCTTCCAAATTATAATTAGAGAATCAAAACTTTTCAGCCAAAATGTACTTTCAGGAGTTCATACTTTATTATTTTTCAAATTAATCTGAGAATGCATCCAAAGTCACAGAGAGGTGGATTCTGAACCTCCTAACTCTCAGCTTTATCTTTTCACAATACAGAGGATGGCCTTTATACCAACCTTTAAGAAACACATTTTCATCTACTGAATATGGAAAGAAGGTAGAGGGCTCATTTGCTTATTTTCCATATATAATTGTGTAAGTTGTTATCTGTAAAACAGATAGATGCCTCCTGTTTCTTGGCCTATTTAACTGTGCTGTAAAGCTTGAGTGAAAGGATATTTGAGCAAATACACAGGATTCATAGCAAATTCAATGTGAATATGCACTGGCTCCTCAGAGAACAAAATTGAACTGATAGTTTAAAACGTAAGGTGGAGAAAGGGAACATTCCTACACTACTGGTGGGAATATAAACTGATATAGCCATTATGGAGAACAGTAGGGAGATTCCTTTAAAAAAAACTAGAAATAAACCTACCATATGATCCAGCAATCCCATTACTGTGCATATACCCTGAGAAAACCACAATTCTAAAAGACACATGTGTCTCAGTGCAGTTCACTGCATCACTATTTACAGTAGCCAGGACATGAAAACAACCTAAATGTCCATCTACAGAGGAATGACTAAAGAAGATGTGGTACATGCATACAATGGAATATTACTTAACCATAAAACGGAATTAATTTGAGTCAATGGTAGTGAGGTAGATGAATCTAGAATCTGTTATACAGAGTGAAGTATGTCAGAAAGAGAAAAACAAATGTCACATGTTATTACATATATATGGAATCTAGAAAAAATGGTATTGATGAAGCTGTTTGTAAGGAAGGAATGGAGATACAGATGTAGAGAATAGATTTGAGGACCCAGTGGGGAAAGGAGAGGGTGGGAGGAATGAAAAATGTAGCATTGATGTATATACACTATCATGAGTTAAATAGATATCTGGTGAGAGGTTGCCATATAACACAGGGATCCCAGTCTGGCACTCTGTGATGACTTAGAGGAGTGGGATGGGGCCAGGGGAGAGAGGTTCAGGAGAAAGGGGCTATATGTATAATTATGGTGATTCACAAAACAACACTGTAAAACAATTTTCCTCCAATTAAAAAACAAATTTTTAAAAGAGGTAAAACAGGTAATATTTCCCTTGATACAATTCATTATATAGGGTGATATCTTAGAAGTATGAAAACAGTACATTTAAATCCCACTTTTGTCCCCACTCTAGTTAGGAGAAGATATTACACAACTTTTAGAATATTATTTCTTTTATTTCTAAGGTGTGTGTAAATAAAATTACATTTTGTGAACATCTAATGAGTTCTAGAGTTTAAATTAAGTCCCTATAGATGTTTGTTGTTATCATTTTAGGGTTCACCACTAACCTCCCCAAAAGCCTGCCAAAAAACCAACAAAGATCTTAATGGTAGAGACCACTGTTAATAATAAAGATGGAAGAGACTGCAGGACTTTTTCAAAGACATTAAATAACGCGTAACTTGTTTGAAAGTAATATCCAAATAATAAAGCAATGAGATGCCTTTTACCATTAGTGACCCTTCTGCTTTCCTGGCCAGTCATTCAACAAAACCTATGGCCTTCTAAACTGAGTTGAGAATCATTCAAAAAACTGCTACAGCCTGAATGCTTTACCTTTTCCAATCTTTCTCTGGGTCTTATTACTTGATTCTTCTTTTCTGTTCTTATCCAGAGCCAGTCACTCTTTTTCTTTATGTATCTCAACAATCTTGCTTTTGTTTACATAAAGATGAGGGACAATAGAGAAGGTTATTTATTTATTTTCCTGAGGAAACAATCCTAGAATAAAAGAGATAGAAAGATACTCTCCACCCCATCCATTTCCCTTGTCCTACTTAGATCTCAGCTTTAGGATCCTGAAGAAAGGCAGAAGAGTCAACTTTTAATTATCCATGTTGGGAGAGGAAAATGGGCTTCCCAGGTTGTGCTACTGGTAAAAAAGCTGCCTGCCAGTGAAGGAGATGTAAGAGACACATGTTTGATTCCTGGGTCAGGAAGATCCCCTGGAAGAGGGCATGGCAATCCACTCCAGTATTCTTGTCTAGAGAATCCCATGAACTGTAGGAGCCTGGTGGGCTACAGTCCATAGGGCCTCAAAGAGTTGGACACTACTGAAGTGACTTGGCATGCATGAAAAAAGGAAAATAGACACTGTTAACCAAAAAGGTGAGCAATTTATAAAAAAGCAAATTCAACAAACAATTTTATCTTCTGTTGGAATATGGACTCTTCACACACACACACACATGCACACACACACACTTAACACTAAACTTGGCCTTGCTCACTCATCTGGGATTCTCTAAGTTGTTGGACAGTGGAGCTTATAAATAAGGCAAGGTCTATGAATTCTCTCTCATTGAATAAGTTATTTTTTCTTCTGAGCATTAAACTGTACCTTTGAGACACTAACACACTGCCAGATGTGCCAAGAGCACAACTTTAAGTTGTACCCCTGAAAACAGTTTTAAAGAAAACTTGTCTGAGAAATAAAACTTTAAAGTGTGAAGAATCAAACTGTCAGGATAAGAGCCAAGTGCCAGGTGAAGTTTCCAGCATCTTGGAACTGAAACACATTAGATAGCAGTAGATCTGTTCCTCGGAGCCCACCCTCAACTATCCATGTGGACTTAGCTCATAGAATTATAATAGTTTAAAACCACAAACCAGTGGTTACCAGTGGTGGGGGGAGGGGCAACATATGGGTAGAGGAAAGCATAATCTATTGGGTGTAAGATAAGCTCAAGGATGTGTTATACCACTCAGGGAATATAGCTAACATTGTCTAATAACTGTAAATGGAAAGTAAACTTTAAAGTTGTACAAAAATAAATAATTAAATTAAAAAATAAAATAAAATAAAAAATATACAATCAACGGAATTTTAGTTCAACTTCTTTTGTTGTTCATGTGGTGGAAGTGAATCCTAGAGTGCTTAAATGATTTTGTAAATGTCAAGCAACTATAAAGCGACAAAGTAGCAATTTATCAATAACATTTCAGCCCTTGGCAAAATGGATATCTAACAAACTCTGTTCAGTTTAATTTCTTCTATTGACCAATAATCTAAGCATAAGTGAGGCACTTCATCTTACATATTAGTTT